CTTGAGCTGGAAAAGGAACCAAGCAACGATGTGAGGTGAGAGCTAACAAGTTGTTCTGTTGGACGTCGCAGAACGCTTTTTTCTTTCAAAAGAAGAACAAAAACACAGGGAGAAATCAAATGAGACTCGATGCCAGCCAATAACAATGTTGCGAGAGTCTACTGGCATTCCCTCAGAAGTAAAATTTCTCAAAATATGAGAGGACGTTTTCAAATTCTCAACTTAAGCGTTCCATCAGTTACAGTCAAGTAATTGCCTAGTTTGGTGTGATAGCGCGTGTAGTCATTCTTGGTTGTCATGGAAACAGTGCGGCTATTTTACGTTGTCCGATCACTGATAAAAAATACAGTGAATATAATCGATTCCCGCAGACGATCACCGCCATGCAAGTCGGTTAACGCTAAACTCACTATCAGAGAACTACTTTTTCAAAGTCAATCTTTTTGTTAAAAGGGATATCAACGTGGATAGATATGTTGTAAGCGTCACAGCACCTCAACATTTAGACTCATTTCTTGAACTTCTTGATCAATTTGGGTTTTCTGCAAATACTCCATGGTGGAAGCGATACTAGGGCATGATTGCTTTCATGTGATTAAACCACTCGAGTGTATTGGAGGTAAGAACACAAATCAATTTTTTGCTGTTCATCTTCCATTATGTTTGATGCTAATTAGTTATTTACTAGCATCCTCAAGACTTGTTTCTGGTAGATTTAAGTGCTGAATTGATAACCATTTTTTTGTCCCTCAAGTCAAGAAATGGTATGAAGTTGAGTCATACGGTAAGTACAAAATGGCCGATTCTCAATCCGCTGAGAAGAAACTTGCGCTTTGAGTACTTGCGCCACCAAAAAATCACGACAAAGAACATTAGATTGTAGGTATGCTTTGGGGTGAGAATGAAACGCAACTACTCAACAATTACAATTTCACTGTCGCGCATTGCTCTTGTTGCTCCGCGTGATCCACATAATCTGACTGCTCGAGAGTGATCTTTACCACATCATCCAGCGATAGATCTGAACAAGCCTGAAAAATAGAAGCACTAAAGAGTGCATCAAAATCTCATGGAACATCATTGCGTCAGTCAAGTTCTTTTACAGTTCCGACAATCAAAATATGCGGTTTCCGTCGACATAAAAGAATAATCTTGCAACTTGTGTCGTGTCATTCGATCGGTTTTCGTAGCCTTTGCTCTGGCGGACACCACAATGCATGTAAGTAATGTTCAGTACACAAGGCACACATTCGATGTTCAAAACTCTCTAGCACATTCAAGTTCCGCACTTCAGCGATCCGCCTGCTATATTCGCTAAATGTACGCCGTAGCCGCAAACGCTGTCATTTAGAGATTTATGTTGACAGCCTGAACTCAATAGACGATTCCAAGGATGCTACTCAGTTGGGTTTGGACCTTGTTAAATTTTCAAATCCAGGAGCAGTTAGACTAACTAAGTGCGTCAGCACAGCTCCAGTATTGGTAGCAAGAATGAAGAACCCTGATGCTAGGAAAATCAAAAGGGTTAATGAAATTGCTGTTACTCTTGAAAACTTGAAATTTGTCTTAAATCTAAAATAGAAACATAAGGATGACACTTTGATGCTAAGTCTCGGAGCTAATCAAATGGTCAAGACTTAATTACAGCTTTTTTCCCCCTGTTTTTGATTTCATAGAACTTTTTGTTATTTGCACGGTTCAGTAAAAAAGATATATAACGCATATCTCGCCAACAATGGGAAGATCTTTCACGTGATGAACTACATCAAAGTTTTTTTTGAATGGCATATTAGGTTGCCAGTTTTAGGTACACTAGCACACCATCGCACTTATTTTGATAAAGAAGTATAGCCAATTAGCTTTGTTTCTCGCCCTTTTTCGCCCCCTCCCGGAGGTATTGTACGTTCTTTTGGCTGTATCCGCTGCTTCGCCGCCGTTGACTTCGACTCCAAGCATCCAATAATCTTAGTCAGCCGTCATATTTTCTTCTCCCCATTTGTAACGTTCTTTGAATTGCTGCATAACCACCATTTTTTTGATCTTCTTTGGGCAGTGATACAGTTTGAGTAAGCTACCTTGGGACTTCGTGCTGCTCTCCGTTCCACCGAACACCGTTGCATTAATTGCCGTGAACGTAAGGCACAAAAATTCAAACCAATGATGGCAGATTTAACAAAGTAATGTCTGAGCTATTGGCAAATTTCCATTGAGCAAGTGTGGACTGTACAATTTTTGGTCCTTTTTCCGTTAAAATCCGCCAAAGCTCTAAAATGCAGTAGGACTTCCAATTTATGTGTTTGAAAAAGCGCGTAACTCATAAAGAAATGGTTCCGTCAAGGAATACGATTTCCTGTGTTATGAGGATTGATCGGATCATTGCTACAGGCGGAACGCCATCGAGCCTTTTTTTCTTAAGACAAAGCTGAGTGAGCTTTGGTCATTGAATTTCGATGAAGACTTTAATCCTTGTAAGCGATACGCACTTGCTAAGTAGTTTTTGAATGCGCTTTGGAACCGTTGGCTCAGAAAAATCGTGCCGACTCACACTGAACAAACATACTGACAATCTTTTGTGGATAACAGACGTGCCAGTCCCCATGGTCATCACCCGTTATCATGAGTTACCACGTTGGAATACGGAAATGGCGGCAATGCACGATCCGCTGTTGTACAAACGTCAACAGGCGAGTATATCCGACCGACGGAAAAAGCGCATCCGTTCTCCCTCTGTTATAAGTACTAGCGTGTGCTGACTAATACAACTAAGTTCTATACTGACTATAACTAGCATTTTGCATGCAATTTTTTGGGTCAGTTATCATCAAAAATCATTCTTTAACTGAAAAAATCTCAACTATCGTTACCTAAACCAATTTAGGTCGAGTTCCGGATCTTAATCAGAATTTTTTATTTAAGCCAATTTTGCTTATATATATGTATACTTGTTCAGCTCAGCTTCTGCCGCAACAGTTATGATAAGTCGATTTGTTAAAGTAATGTTCAGAAAAACTGCTGAAATTGAAGGTCGTCAATTGTCCACAAAGTTATGATAGTAAAATAAGCAAAGATTTCTGAAAAAACTCACGAGTTTTTTTCTTAGATTCAAAAAACCGTCCTTGTCAAGAAAACTTGAATTAACGGGCAACGTCAAAACTAGAGAGCAAGTTCAGATTGAAGGCAGAAGATACAGACGAACTGATCAGTAGCTTTGAGTCTATATATAATGAACTACTAGTTGTCTAGTAGTTGGTGGCTGTTTTGCTTTTGGCACATTTCAAAGTAATACATTTCATAGTTTTTTTTATGTTATTACGTTCAAAAGCGTGATGTTACTACGTAAACTATGTGGATTAAATCTGTTCAAAATTGTTATTTTGTTCACCATGACAAAATTCATTGCAATATGATAATGTTAAAACAGTTTATCATAACTGAAATTGAATTTCGAAGTCAGAGCTGGAATGGAGCCGGACATTTTTCCAACGGCCAAGTATTTTGAAACCATGGTCGACATAATTTTCAAAAATTTTCAGAGACCCTCTCCCCCCGCCAACATTCTAGACCTAACGAAGATTGTTTTGATCGACCAAAATGATTTTCCCATTTCTTCGAAATTAGGATCAAAGATTGTATTTTGAAAGAAAGATCTGCTACACAGACCTTTTTTTGAAAAAAATTACAAAGTGTTTTTTTTAGCAAACTTGAATGCTTCGACCAAACAAATGCAATTTTTACTCAATTGTGAATCCCTGCAATCTGAAATGTCGCGGCCCATCAAAAATTATGCAATTAATTATACTACAAAGTGGCAAGGGCCGCTGCCACAGACGGGTACCGTGTAAATATATGATGTCCCAAATATCGCAAAACAAAAAATATTGCAAAAATTCGAAAAATAGCTTCACTAAGGCAAACATCCGACAGACGGCTAAACTGGAATCAGGTATTTGCACTATAACTTTAATTTGAAATTGTTGCGTCATATTATTACATAATTCTTATTTAAGTTTGGGCGGTTGATATCGTGGATGTCAAAAATCCTTATAAGTACTTTTTTGGCTTTCAACGCTGTTTATGGACTTTTTAAAAACATTTTTAGCAAGTTCAGTTTTTTTTTTGGCTGGCACTTGCCCTTAAAAGTTTATATCGAGAAAACTTTGTTTGAACCTTATGAAAAATTTTAGCATGTTCAGGTTTGTCTCTCAATTCTAGAGACCTACACATGCCAAATTGCAAGCCTATCCAAAGCACAGTTTGGCCTCATAACCAAATATATATTCTTTTTTATTTTACATACTAGCATCACGACTTTAGCCACAATTATACGGGAGACAACTATGACAGAAAAAGAATTTTTTCTTACCCCCCCCCCCAACTTGCGGATTTTTAGTAGTAAATTTTTGTTCACATTGTCCGATTGTTAAAAAATGGCTAAATTAACCTTCTGAAACCCCTACAAAAGATGCTTATGTGAGGTGGGAGGGAAAGCAAAAAAAAATTGGAAGTCTTCATTTAGTAACAGAAGAGTAAGATGACATCCGTCTCTGCGCCCCCCCCCCTAAATCCACCCGTGGGCTGCCCCAAAGACCCTGTCACAGTTTCAAAGTACTCTAAGAGTCCGCTCTATTCCCTGTCCAGAGTCTTAGAAGGTCTTAGACTGTGATATGGTGATCATGAAAACCTTTTTTTTTCACATAAATTTAACATATAAAGTTGTCTAATTGTTTCTTGTTTCCCATTTTCTTTTATGACGTTGGTTTAATTTTATTTTAATCTATAGGAGTGGGTGATTTTATAGTAAGCCTACTTTAAGACTACTTTGAAGCTGTAAACGTCACGGCTCCACAATGGTGTTATTAATGATGTTACTTTTCTGTTTTAGATCTAAGTATCAAATCTGTACTAATAAGCACGTGTGCTTTTAAGCACTGCCTTTTTTTACTTTGACGTATGCAAGAACAGTAAAAACTGTTTTTGGATTTAAAATACCGTACATGCATTCGTTCCGTATGCTTAATGTTCACCTGTGTTTTATGCGTGCTGGTTTTGAATGAAATAACCACCACTAGCTCTGATTTTTTTATTGTGAGCGTGGTAATGCGTCAATTGGTCCAACTTAAACCAAACGAGTACTTTAGTTTAATCAGTGACGAAAGAATTTTTAAATTGATTGTTTACTTCGGCTAACCAAAATAGTTCATAATAATTCAGCAAGAGTTTTAATTATTTGTTATTTGGAACGTGCTGTCTTTGTCTTGCTATTGAGCATTATTTTGTTTTCAATATAAAAACAATAAAAAAGTTTTATCCAATTTGTTCCTGCAAAAATGTCTGACGGAGAAGCGTAAGTTTTTAAAGTTTTTGCAATGCACAAATCGCTTTTTCCATGCAACTTTGCAACAAATTTTTCTGGATTACAATTATTAAATTTTTGCTCCAATTTGAAATACAGAAACGGAATATAAAGAGCTAGTTTCTTCTTAACTATGACTTAAGTTATTCGAGAAAAAAAACCAATAAAAACTGAAAAAATTAAACGGTTGTGTCAAATTATTGCCAGATAAGCGCTAGCTGAAACGTCCCTAGAAGTGAAATTCCTTATGACAAAAAAATTACTCAATCGCGTTAGACGCTCGAAAATAGATGGGAAAAAAATTTGTAACCAAGTTTTTTTCTCACTGTGAAATATTTTCGAAAACTTTTTAAGGGCCGTTAGAATCACGACTGAATGGTCCTTGATAAGATATATCAGTCAATCCAGTCCGATGATTGTTTATGATACCTGATTTTACGTGAAAACAAAAAATACACGCCTTTATACAAAGTTGCTCTCCATTTTTCAAAAAGTCGGAACAAAAAAGATAATTTACAAACTAGTTTTGCCCGCTTTCTTGATTCATAATTCATACCACAGCAAGAAACTTATACATTTTTTGTCCAAAGAAATCTATATAAAAATAAAATATATAATCTATTTAAATAAAAAAAGTCTAAATCAGCAAAACCATTGGTTCATGAGCACAAAAGTTCTTGTGCCGAACGTAAACTGATCAGAGAAAATGGTCGCTGATTGACAAAGCTGTATTTGAAGCTAGCCGTCTGACTTATTTATAGTTTTTAGTCTGCTAAAATATTGGTTTGCTCAGAAAAACTGATTTATATTGATTTTGCAGGCAATACAATATCTTTTTCCACCTTAGAAATTTGTTAATTCTGAATTCAAAAACTCATTAAAAAAATAGTTACGATATGAAATATCTACCGAGTTCTCATATAGTATATTATCTTTAGAAAAATAGACAAGAATCAAATTCAACATCAAATTTGTCAACAAAATACTTTTGATGAAAAAAATTTGGTTCGTTTTACAGGTTTTTTTGTATCCTGAAAAATTGAACAGTAATGTGTGTCTGATATTGATGAAAAGATGGCTTGCTTATTTCTCGAATTTATAGTGTCTCATATTATTTGTTTTCAACCAAACAAAAAATACCATTTTCAAATTTCCGATTTTGCCTGATGTGCAATCATTTTACTCGATAACCGAAACGCTCCAAAAACAAATCAGCTATTTAAAAATTTAATCATAAGGAAAAGGAATAAATCAGCAGCAAAAAAGCTTAGAGGGCCCAAAAATAGAGAGAGTTTCACATAGCTACAGGATGAATTGAGAATGAACAAGAATAGCTAGTTGTTGTGCAAGTATCAGAGAATGTTTCGACCACAAGCTCTTTTTTCAAATTAGTGTTTCTTGTGCGTGATATGAAGAAAAACGATACCAATGCGTGAAAAGTTCAAAAGTTAAATTTAATCGATAACAATTGGTTTTAAAAAAAGTTACAAACAAAAACGAAGAAAAAAAATCATTTTTCTAATTTTTGTTTTACACAATAATGATTGACTTTTCTACTTTTGCCTTGGAAGGTTACTCATTGGCTTTAGTTGCTCGAATTTGGACTGAAAATTGAAAAATTCAAAAGCTTCTTTTGATACTGGAACAAAAAAAAATATTAAATTTCCAATGTTTTCGAATCATGGCTCAAAGCGCTTTACTATAATATATCTCGTTCGATTTTAAAGATTATTTGTGGTGCCTGATTTTGCTAGTATAAATATCTAACACACACAAAGACAAATTTCCCACCATTTTCAATGCTCGGAACAATATAAACATTTTTTTTGGTATATTCTATATAATAAGGACTAGTTTTGTGAAACTTTTGTTAATAACTAGATAAACTCCAAAAAAGAGTTGTTAGGAAATTCTCACTTATTAGTTTCAAAAATTTGTTTAATTTAAAAAAAAACGATTTAAAATTGATTTGTACCCAACTCGGGCAAATACTGTCAGCGAGTTCATTGGGCCTATAGTGTCGAGGATCAGCGGTTTCCTTCGAATATCTAACTTGTGTTGAGTTCACTTTCGAATATTTTTTGTTCGAGACAGACCCAATTTGTTTGAGACGCTCGAAACTTTCTCTTATTTAGCTCAGACTTCGGAGAATACTCATGATTAGCCGAGTGCTAGCCGGTCGAGTCATGAATATTTCGAACCGAGCCAGTCAAACTCCTCGGTTCCGCGAGTTATATTTCTTAGATATCTATGATTGTATACTTAGATTGTATATATGGAGTGAAAATCTTGTAAGATATTTGCAAAGAAGGGTAAATTTTGGACAAAGATATAAACTCTTTGGTAATTATGTTCTAATAAATAAAGATTTTTGTACCTTCCGAGATAGCTGATTTAACGACCTTTATGAAATGATTTTTTACAAAAAAAAAATGCAAATCTTGCACCTAAAAATGTCAACGAAACTCATCTGAATCCAATATTCCTTCTAAAAGACTGATAAATTTGCTTCTTTAGTATGTTTTCAACCATATTTAAAAAAAAAATAGGTTTTTAATATTTGTTTGATATGTTTAGAGTACGAGTCGCCGTGAGGGTGAGGCCCTTCAACTCCAGGTAATCTCAAATGCAATTAAGCTTTTTTCTTTAAGTACTGTCGAACCAACAATGATCTTTTCAATAGAAATTGGTATGGTTACAAATGAATTTACAATATTAAGCTACAGATTAAGGCATATTTTCCAAATCCGTCTGGAGCAAACATGTAAAACACGCGCTTTTTTTTCGAAAGATTGGAAACACTGAGGATTAATAGTTTGTTCAGACTCATAATGTCGTAAGTCTTTTCAGTTCTAGACATTTGAAAAATTTCCGTTTCGCAGAATAATGTTTTTTTTTTCCATTACAAAAATGTGTTGGCGGTAATTATCTGGAGATGGATACATAAACTATCGCAACCCTCGCCTGAGCGCCCTGTAACGATGAACTATTTATTTTTTTTGGTTATTTACAATAAATATTGAAGAACTGTTTGTGATTTTGACATTGTACTCTAACCGAATTCTATTTGACATCTAATCTGTTCAGGGAGAAGTCGATGAATGCAAAGCTGATCATCAAGATGTCTGGAAAGACGACCTACATTACCAATCCAGCCGACAGTCAGCATGCTTTCTTATTTCTTACTAGTAGCTTGAAAAGGGTACACGGTTCAAAGACGGGGGGGAGGGGGGTGTTCGCATGGGCGCAAATAAAACCAAGATAATCAAAATGGTAAAGACATACCGGCCACTTTGGAATCCAAATCATTGAACCGAATACATAACTCAATATTTCTAGGATGTTGCAAGTCTTTGTCTTAATGGAAGAGCATTTGAAATAAATATGATTTGTCGCGGTCGAACATTTGTTTTGAACGCAATACGAGAAAATTTAGTCAATATTTTTCTCTTTTAATCTGTTTTGAATCATAGCTTACTTGGTATTAGTTGTTATCAGATGATGAAAAGGTTTATAATTATTATACAAGTAAAAACTTAGTAATTCTGAAATTTCAAAATAACTCAAATTAATTTTTTTTTCAGATGAGAAGAAAGACTTCGCCTTTGACTATTCCTACTGGTTAGCATACCTTCAGCGCTTTCATTAAAAAATACGCCGAATATTCTAATAAAAAAGCAAACAATAGTCTAATCAATTTACTCAACAAGATATACGGAAAGATCAAAACTTCTCGATTTTTTCATCAGCCAGAATGCAAAGAATGAATTGAATCAATTATTTAATTTCATTTTTTGCCATCTGGCCCTTGAAAAATTGAAGAAATTTTGAACTTTTCCTTAAAAATTGGTGAGCAGTTTGATTCGACGATTTTTGTCTAAACTATTTAATTCTGATGATTTTTCTGTATTAAACTTGATTTGCTTAACTATAACAAAACACTTGTAACTTTTTTCCAATTATGGTTGCTTTTTACTTGAGTGATGTGATGTATACATCGATTGTGACAATGAGTAGTATTTTATAGCCAAAATTATAAACCCAACAAAACGATTAAATATTTTTCAAAAAAACTATGTATAAATAATAATAATTGGCGTTTCTGCGATTCGCAGAGAATCTATGAAAGGCCATGCAGCCTTTCTTAGCTTAGTCCATTATAAACCCAACAAAACGGTTAAATAATTTTCAAATATACGATATGCAGTCAGTATTTTTCCTGATTTACTTTCTAGGTCGCACGATGGCTTTAAAGAGGACGGGGAGGGGAATTTGCTGAAGGACGGGGGGTCCAATTACGCCACACAGAGGATGGTGTTTGAGGACCTGGGCCAGGGAGTCCTCGACAACGCCTTCGAAGGTTCGTTCAAATCACTTATTGCAACTTATTTTCTAGAATAATACTTAACTTTGCTGAAAAAATAAACTTTTTTCTTACTTCATTCCTGTAAAAATAAGCCCCCTTTTCAAAAAAATAAGCAAAAAGAGAAACAAAAAGTTCGCCACCCGTCGCAGACCACCCATAGAATAAACTAGATCCTGGTGAGTTCATTTAAGTTTTGTTTTTCAACAACGATCATGGTGCGGAGCTTCTATTTTTTTCAGGTTACAACACTTCTCTGTTCGCCTATGGCCAGACTGGATCAGGAAAGTCATACTCTATGGTCGGGTATGGACCCAACAAGTAAGTTAGTCAAGTCCACGATCTGGCAATAACAGTTATAATAGTTGTGAACGTGGCATTCGCAGGAATTTTTTCGACGGGATATTTAATGAAAAGCGTTAGAATTTGTTTAGGCCAGCCATTTTGAATTATTTTCTTTAACAAAACCCTAAAATTATCGCGTTTGGAAACTTTTTCAGGTGCCACGGCAGTTTTTATGAAATGGAATGTTGTTTCTGAGCAGTTTTTGAAGATTTTTAAAAAAAAATTTTTTTTCCATATGATCAGTATGTGACGAAATCCAGCAAATACCAACCCAACCTTTTTCATAGGGGAATAGTACCGATCACATGCGACGAGCTCTTCAAAACAATCGAGGGCAATGCAGAGACAAACAAGACATTCCAAGTCACTTTCTCCATGCTGGAAATCTACAATGAACAGGTGAGCAGATGAAAACAGTCTAGATGACAGTCTTATGGCGTTTTCTCAAGTGATATTTATTTAGAAGAATTCGTTATTTTTTCTTCTTAGACTATGGTTTTCTTTAACTGTTCCCACATTTATGCTAAAGAGGGGAGATTCGTTATAGGTAAAAAAAATTCGCATATGTTCAACCATTGAATTATTTCTTGATAGGGGAGCCAATTCGTTACTAGGTACCCTAGGGGGGACCTCACTTGGAAACAATTTATGATGATCATTTAAAGAAGATCCACCCCTCTAAATAAAAACAGTAATTTAACACTCAAACTTTCTATTGAGAAATCTTTGCATTCTGATTGGCCAAAAATTTGACTAACTTAATCTACTTAACAATCTCCCCCTTTCTTGAACGGGGTGAGATTGATCAGTAGATATTATTAAATTATTTAGGTAAGAGATCTTCTCACGAAGAACAGTCCAAAGGGAGGTCTGGCTGTGCGACAACATCCGTCAATGGGATTCTACGTGGACAATCTCAAGAAGGTTCCGGTTGGAAGCTACAAGGAAATCGAAGCCAGAATGGAAGAAGGTAAAAAAAAGTTTATTCTTTTTATTCAAGTTGATTTAACAACATTGATTTAAATTATCCGAATACATTGAACAAAATTGCACTCTTAACGCCTTTCTTCCCATTTTGAGATACTTTTTGACGATGAACAAAGAAAGTTGAACACGACGTTTAACAAAAAAAGTGGCTTGTAGCTATTTATCGAAAGTGTGTATGTAACGGTATTTTGTTTCTTATGAATATCAAAATTAGCACAAGTATTTCACCGAAATGTTCGATTAATATTTAAAACAGGTTACAAGAGTTTCAAAGAGCATGGTAAACTGTTTATGAAGTTTTAGGAGAGCTCAAGAAATCAATTTGGTCGACTTAAAAAGAGTTGGAAATTTTCTTTTGTTCCGTTTTTGTGCCTTTGTTGCCAAAATAGCAATTTTCTGATTATTTTTATGAGCCGGATAATTTTGTCCTACTCGCAAGCAAAATTTTACTCAGGTACCAAGAACAGGACAGTGGCGTCTACGAACATGAATGCGACTAGCAGTAGGGCACATACTGTGGTGACCATCACCTTCGACCAAGTGACAGAGGCGGAAGACGGCAGCAGGATGAAGAAGAGCTCCACCATGAATCTGGTCGATTTGGCAGGTACATTACTCACAAGTTGATGATAGTTTCATGACAGAATGTTCCGACTACACATCCTTAGAACAAGTTGGGGAAAACAATCGAAAAAAATAGTTCTATTTTTTTCCGATAAATTATTGATGGCGGCTTATATTTGCTTGCAATTTATTTTAGGTATATCTCAAAAATTTTCCTGATATTAATAAAATTTATTAATCTTATTAAAATTTATTTATAAGTTTCCTAATACCAACATAAAAAGATGGGGGGATGCAATTTTTTGTTCAAAACTTTTCAGAAATGGCTTCTAAGTACCAATTTTAACCTGTTTTTTTTGTTTTTTTTTTTCAAAAAAAGGTCGTTACAATTTTCCATCGCCATGATTAACTCAATCATTTAACCCAATCATTTTCGACACATTGCGTTCTTTTGAGTCTCTTCCAGAATTGTAAACTGCGTCGTAGGTTCCGAGAGGGCGGAGAGCACAGGTGCGACCGGAGACCGACTGAAAGAGGGGGCCAATATCAACAAGTCCCTGTCCGCATTGGGAAATGTGATCTCTGCTCTGGCTGAGATATCCACTGGCAAGGCACCCAAGGGCAAAATGGTTCCCTACAGGGACTCTGTACTCACTAAACTCCTGACTAATGCCCTTGGAGGAAACAGGTCAGCTGATTGTGTTAATCACTTATATCAATCGAATTGGGTTCGATCCGGATTAACAAACTGGTTTCGTTACGTTGAAACGAATTGTCGTAAACAGTCGAGTACGCGGAAACAGTCATTTTTAGTTCCCTTAACTCTTAAGTTGAGCAGCTAAACTCGGAATAAAATCATGGTGTATATTCGTCCTACAAATTTCCGGATTTTTGGGGAAAAAAACCGATCATCTGCCACTTGATAAATCTTCTTTAATCGATTTTTGAGTGGCTAAAAATGTCACCAAACTACTCTTAACTCTAGGTGGTATTGTTCGTTTTAAGTTTTTACTCTATGGTCAGGTTGGAAGTTGATCCAAAAATATCGGTTTTTGCTAGAATTTTTCGAAGTACAAGTCAAGCAACTTAAACGAAAACGTCCATACTTTTTTCACAGTCATATTTTAATTCAATTTTTTCTATTTACGAATTTTGAGGTTATTTGCTGTTTCCACTAACTAGCTGAAACAATTAGCCAAGAATTTAACCAAAAACACACCAAGAAGAAAAAACGCTAGTAGGTTTTCACAAATAATTCAAATTTGTTCCTATTTAATTGAGGTTTGTTTGCTATTTTCAGCAAGACAATCATGATTGCGGCGCTGTCTCCTGCGAGTGTGAACTTTGACGAGACATTGTCCACTCTGAGATATGCAGACAGGGCAAAACAGATCAAAAACAAAGCCACGGTCAATGAGAGTCCCACCGATAAACTCATCCGGGAACTGAGAGAGGAGAACGAAAAGATGAAACTGTTGTTGGAAGGTAAATTGAAAATCATACCATTGATTAACAAAGATGAAGATCAAAAATTTAAAATTAAAACTAAAAATTATTTACCAACTTATTGATATTATTTCCGTTGCGACCGGAAGATAAGTTTGAGACTGTCATAAAAAGGGATCGCTTTAACTAAAAGCAGTACCATCGTAGATCTCTTATGTAACTTCATTGTCTCAGTATAAATGGGCGAAGATCAATTGCTAGGTACAGAATTCGTATGTGCTTACACATTTGATCTTTCTGAACCCAATAGTAAAAAACAAAAAATAAATCGTTAAAAAATTCAAAAACTTTTCAAAAAATTTCCAAATTTTTTTTGAGGTAAATATTTTTGAAATTTGAAACTTTTGATACCCAAATTGGCGCTAAAAACTCCAAAATTTAACTTGACTCAAGTAAAACTAAGTTTTTACGGCTGAGCTTAAGCATAAACAAGACTGCTCGTATCAGAGCGAAGCCCTGAATGTTCCGACTGCCTTTTAAGGTTTATAGAGCAGTAATAATATTAAAAAATTCAATGAAATAAAACAAAGTGAAAATTTATTTTCTAAAATTTGAAATTTTTAATGAAAATCATCCCCCCACACGCCATTTAAAGTACAAAAGGATAAATTTTACTCCTTGTAACAAACCAATTATCGCAAATAAGCTTCTTTTAACCAATTTGGAACGATTTCTAAGACGGATTAACTCTCCGCTTACGCGTTGATAGCGCGAAATATATCGCACATTAATTGTCCCTAATTGGCCAAAATGGCAATCTTTAAACCCCCGTAACTTTACGAAAAATGATCACAGGTGAAATATCTTTTCAAATTTGAGCTCAGGACAACAATACCTTTCGAATGATATAAAAAATTCCGTCAAAAATGGCTAGTTAAAAAGTCGAAATTTGTCTGAAGAAAAAAAAAACCCACCCCGAGCACAAATATTCCGTTACTTTCGTATCGAAAGTCGGAACACTAAGCTGTTGATAGCGTGCACGGTCAAATTTTTTTTCTTAAAGTTGGATCAAAAATCAAAAACTTCAAACTAGTTTGTCTCGACACTGAAAAAATCTCTCCCAAAATTTTCAACATAATTCGAATCACGACTGAAAAAGCATTAAAAAGATATATACTCTGATTTTTATTTCTAGTACCTGATTTTGCGAGGAAAACGAAAAGAAAAAGCAAAACTCACGCGAATGCAAAGTTCCTCCACATTTTTCTAATGGTCTGATTAAAAATGAGAGTTAAACGTCGTTTTTAATGCTTTACATAACCAAAATCTTCCAATAATTTACACGTTTACTTTTTCAAATCTAAGTCTTAAACGTCTGTTCATTTTCTTTAATTGTTTTTCAGCAGTATGTAGATAGCTGTATATACATACAAGATTTATTGTATCAGGGCAAAACCTGAAGTTCTGACTACCCCTTAGCTGGCTTCGAAAGAGGTTTATTTGATACAAAATTTGATTAATTACAATTTTGGATCGCCAATATCAAATATAAACAAGACTTCTCGTGTCAGGGCAAAGCCCTGAATGTTTTAACTGCCTTTTAACACTTATGCAGCAGTAATAACATAAAGAAAATTAAATGTAATAAAACAAAAGAAAAAAAATTCTAAAATTTGAATTTTTTTAAAAGAAATCATCCCCCCACACGCCATACAAAACACAAAGGAATAGATTTCGCTCTTTATAACGTATCAATTATGGCAAATAAGCTTCTTCACACCAATTTGGAACAATTTCTAAGACGGATTAAATATCCGCTTACGCGTTAAGCGCGAAATATATCGCGCGTTAATTGTCCCTAGTTAAAAAGTCGAAATTTGACTCAAGAAAAAAAACCAACCCCGAGCACAAATATTCCGTTACTTTCGTATCGAAAGTCGGAACAATAATAAAATCTCAGTCAAATTGAAGTGAACATTAAGTTTGCTTCAAGTTAGTTGGGAACGATAATGAGAGTGGAATCGTTCGCCTTACTAAAATGAGCATAGAATTTTGTAATTATCAATGTAGAACTTCCAACCGCATTTCGACTAGTGGCAAGCACACTTGCTTGAAAATTCAAAATTCGCGGTTCGAGGGTAAGTTGTAAGCAGTTGCGACGCTGGAATTTGCCTGAATCGTTCTTTCTGCTATTGTGAGGTCAATATCAGCCGTCTTACTGGTTAAGTCTTGAAGGAAACTTGACTCTTCCGCTCCTCTGCAGTTTGTGGGATAAAAGTATTCAACTATACGAGGAGTTCCATCGAGAGACTGAAGATGTCGAAATCTTTCGGTCCACTTAAACAGCTAAAGGTTCATTCCGCTTGATTATTTCTCAATTCATGCAAATTTTATATCTTCTAGCATATTTTTTGTTAACCCCTTCCTCGGTTGTTATCCAAGTTGATAGATACCATTGAACTGAAAAGTCTTCTTCAGTAGGTGAATGACCTGTCCCAGCTGATGGAGCATTTAGGTCATTTCACTATAACTTAATTGCTGAAAATGATTCTTCAAGGCGTTAACACAGAATAACACAAAATAAAAAATATCCATGAATCAATTTATTATTCACCCTTCCAGGAGGTGGTCTGACACTGGCTCAGTTGATGGAGCAGAGTGGACAGGACGAGAATGCGGCTAAGGGGATCAGTGAGGAGGATAAAGAGGAGATGAGACGACAGCTGGAGGAGCAGATCAGACGGGAGATGCAGGAGAACGAGAAACAGGCAGTCATGATGTCAGCCGATGCAGGCAACCAGTGGAACAACGAGGTCAGAGTGACTTAAGTCAAAAGGGATCAAAAATGACATTGCCACTGAGTTAAAATCTTCCACCCTGTCGTTTCCATTCTTCCACCCCGTAAAAAAGAGCTTCGCTCAAATAAAATAGGCCACTCTGCGATGAAAAAAAAATACAAAACGGACTATCCTTGGGCATACTTTGATAGATGGTACTCTACGATTTGTAGAAACAAAATTATAAATAATGAACTGTTTAAGTACACATGGTTAAGTACATCGATATAACCTAATCAGCCTTGTTTTTTCTGCGTAGTTGGCAGCAGCCAAACAGGAAATGTCAATTGGGACTGGCGACGACAATCTGGCCAAGACCACTCCGCACCTGTCCAATCTGAACGAGGACATCATGCTCACAGGCATGATCCAGCACTACCTCACCAAGGAGGTCACTGTCGTCGGCAGACTGGGTGATGATGTGGAAGATGACATATCCATGTCTGGCATCAGGTAAAAATATATCCAAAAAATATTTTTTTTCCCTAATTTTATTCTTCGTTTTATTTGTTTTCATAAGTCTTTCTTTGGATCTCTTCAAGAAGGGCAATGAATTTTTTTTAAAAAAAGCAAGGCGATCGGTATTACATATATTACATATGCTTTATCATTCCTAGAGAGCATTATTTGATAAAAACAGTATTTTCCTACAAAACAAAGTGATTAAAAACAGGTTTTTCTACATTTTCTTTTGCGTGTTTGGCATGCTTTTTTTCTCAGCAGTTTTGACAAAAGAGTGTACTTTGTATGGTTTTCAAAACAAGGAATCTTCAAAGATTTATCCATTAGGAGTCAATATAAACTCTACTCGTCAATTAATCTTGACATTTTAATTTTTAATTAGCATCAAACCGGTGCACTGCAAGATAGAGATGACTAAGGATGAGGTCATCATCTGCCCCGTGGACCAAGGTGCAAGTGTCAAGGTCAACGGAGACACTTTGACAGGTCCATTTGCACTCAAACACAAGGACAGAGTTTTGTTCGGACTCAATCATCTGTTTGTGTTCTACAACCCAAAGAACCCACAGGTTCGCTTTTTCGTTTTTGATTCGTGTTTTGATATAACTTTTTAGACTAATATTTAGGCGTTTTATTCAACAATTTTTACGCAACAAAAATATTAGCGACAAAAAACAAGGCCTAAAATTTGACGAAATCGACGACTCGCCAAGTCTGAAAATTTTGCTTGATTTTTATATAACTTTTTAGGCTAATATTTGGGCGTTTTATTCAAGATGCTGCTTATGTCCTAAAGCTCGTGCATCTTAGAAACCAAGTTAACATAATATCAACAAAAAAATTCTGAATACACATCTTCATGTCGATTCCTTTTCCTTCTCTTTCAGGTGAGAGAGGGCACCCCCGAGAAGGTGGATTGGGAGTTCGCCTCCCTCGAGATGACGAAGGAACAGGGCGTGGCATGGGACGCTCAGGACATGAACACAGGTATTTACTTACCCTTTGCCCCCTTGTTCATAAATTTTGTAGAACTAAACATATGCTGTTTCTTATTGTTGACATTTCTGAAGCTCATGTGTGATTTCAAATAATCGAACTTATAAAATTTTGGATCATTTCTCTTTATTTTTACACGACCTAAATTCTATTCACAGAAAAAAAACTAATTGTAAGCAAACATATTATAATTTAAGAAAAAAAATTTCTACTGAAATTGATACGAGCTTATCCGGAATTAGTGATAAAATCATTAGAAACCGTTTTTGTATTTAAATTGTTTAGTTATTGATGAATTGTGTGATTGGGGTAAGAACTTAAAAACTTTGAACTTTCACAATCACTCTTAGCTGTAGATATAACGTCATCAATCGTTTGACATATCATTTGGGTTCAAATTAAAGAAAAAAAAAAACGTTTTTGTTTTCGAATTGTAGTGCACGTGCATAATTAAGATTATCACGCAAACTGTAAACAAATCGATGTAGAAACACTCGAAAGTGCCTCAAATGTTACAAATGGTGTGTCACGATGGTGTTTGAGTCACTTTGAAAACGTGACCGAATTTCTTATTTTTTTCTCTGAAAATAGCCCTTTTATATGCATAAAAGCTAGATTGTCGCCTGCCAAAGAAAAATAAAAAAAAGAATTAAAAAAGTCGTGAATAATTAGCTGAATTATTTGAAATGTGTGTGTGAAATGTTATTTGGTGCCATGTGTGATATCCTTTGATTTCAGAGCAGCAGAGAGTACGTAATGAGATTGCGGAGCTGTACCCGATGATAGCTAAGGCCAATGCGATCTCCGAGGAGCTGAACAAGTACAAGAGCTTCGACATTGTCCTAGTTTCAACCATGAAGGACAATCCCAGCAACAAGGGCGCGTAAGTGTCCACAAAGTTTAATTAATTCAGACATTCTGACATTTCATATTAGCTAGTGTTATACAATTTGTTGGAGACGTTTTTTAAATCTAGACTCGCATCTAGGATCAACTGTTGATATTTACCAAATTTGAAAAATAGGAGGGACTAATGTGCGCATCAATATAATCGCGTTCGGATCAGACAAAAAAAAGAGGTAAAATCATAAAGTAGACCTGGAGTTTAACGAGGTGGTTTCTGAAATTGATAGTTTTTAAGGTACTGATCAGGAGCGGATTTAGGGGAGGGGGGAGAGGGAGGGGGTTACGCCTCCGCTCAGAGATTCGACCCCCAGCCGACCCAAAGGGTCTCCCTTCGGTACTTTTTAAGAAGTTTTGGCTGACCGGCCCTAAAGTTTTTCCTTAGGCGCCAATATATATACATATATTAATTTTGAGGGGGAGCGCGCGCCAAAAAAACCGCGGCTTTTTGTCAAATTTTCCAAAAAAAAGCCCAAAAATGGCCATTTTTTAACTTAGTTTTTCAAAAAATATGCCTACAGCAAATTGATCAAGTTGATGTGTTTAAAGTGTTCTGGGAGCGCTTGCAAGAATCAACTTGGTCAACCTCAAAAAAAAGGTCGACAAAATTTTCAAGTTTTTTTCAAAAATCCTCACCACCCCGCCCCTCAAGAAAATCCTAGATCCTCACCTGGTAATGATGCCAATTTTGTTTGACAGACTGATTATTTCAATTTAAGATCTATTTCGATTTTAAAAAGTCCATTAATTTGTTTCAGTGATAAGAGTTCTGGTGCCAACTATCCCCAAGGAATGTAAGTAATGCAACACTTTTAATATACTTTGTTGGAACTGTTGTTGAAACCGTTCGCGGACAATATTGATTGAATGAAAATAAAAATTTTGTTTGATTAACGTAAACATAAGAAAAAGAGCAGTAGGATGCTGTGCAAGTAACACAAAAAGTTTCGACCACGAAAGTTTTTCCTTCTAGTTGTTTTCAATTTGTGTTTTTGTGCGTCGTCTGACGAAAGAAACATAAAGATGGATTTTAAATTAGCCGCATTTGCTTACAAAACTCCTCGGAAAACGCAAACGAAAGCCAAAAGCCAAAAAAAAAATCAAAAACGTTTCAGTTTGTTTGCAACTTTCTTTATAAAAAAGTTTTTAAAAAACTTTTTGTTGCCAAGAAAGCGTTAAGTGAAACTTCAAAAGTTTTACGCCTCGAAAAAAACTTAGGTTGTTTACGCTTTAAATATTAGTTTTTGGTGTGAGTGTAATAGCTTAATGAGTAGCCAAATAGTATTTAACTTGTTTTTTTTGGAATTTTTGTTGGCTCAGGACTAAAAAAATTTTAATAACAAAAGTCACTCAAAACATTTTTTTATTATACGTGGTATGGGGCTCTGCACCGGAGAAAAAAAACGAAAACTACCTAACAACTGGTGACAAAAATCTTCCCCACTTCCAGGGGTAGGAACAAAGACGTGCAAAAACCTCTTGTTTTGAGAATCTTGCGTGTTTTTGTCTGCTCGATAAAAAGGTGCTAATCCGATCTGTTTTTTTTTGCCCCAATTGACATGAGTGAAAAAAAAGCAACCTTTTATAGTTTTTTCATTGAACACCCTATGAAACTCATGAATATAAGCATCCTCGAAATCTACCGCAATCTGTGATGGCTCAAGTTGTGGACTCATTTTTTTCAGTTATCTGAAGGACTGAATGTATTGCTTTTCACTATCATTTTGAAGAAAAAAGAAGACTAGTGGAACTTTTTGATTGTTAAACGCAGCATGAATTGTAAAAACTTGATAAAGTGACAAGCTAGACATGCTTTAACTGTCCCATCTGCGTGCCAGAATAAGTTGCTCTCCAAAATTTCTAATTTCTCACCGGTGGCAAATATAAACAAACGGTCCCTATCGTTCGACTCCGAGTCAAAAGAGAAAATTATCTCCCCTCAGGGTCTTGCTAAACTCCAAAGGCAGAGCAACGTCTTTTACCGAGTGGGATGGAATCAATTACTCAGTTCTGGCAAGTGACGTGTACCTAGCCAAGATAACAACTGCTTCGATGCAAGTATCCTACCGTTTTTCACATAAATAATCTTGGGGGCTCGAACGTTGTTTTTGTTCTTTTTGATAGCACGTATGAGCTGTAGATTTGTTTGAAAGCACAATAAAACCAAATCAAAGTAGTTTTTGAGGCGACTAACGTTCAATTACTTTCATCTTTACTGTTAATTTATTTCAATGTGTTAATTATTTCAAAACTGGTGCTAAATTGAAAATTGTGATCGCCTGCTAGACTTTAATCTCCTCCAAAACCATCGCGAAATTTTTTGCCTGATTTGCATTGTGTAGTACTCGCCACATGCAATTAATCGTTTTGCTTAGTGTCGCTGCTGCGAATTGACACCTCGTGCAAACTCTCGGCTTTTAAAGTTGCTGCAAATTGTCGCTCTTAATCAATCGTCGCTTTCGACGAATTGTCGCCTCACGAAACTTTGGTGGTTTAATGGGAAATCTGACTTTTGATACTATGATTGTTCCGACCACTGGAGTATAAGAAATTTTGTTTTCGGGTGTATTGTAGTCTAAAATGTTTCCTTCCTCAATCATGTAACACAAGCAATCATCGGAATGGGTTAATTGATATATCTTATTAAAGCCCGTCCAGTCAGAATTTGATTGACATCATAAAATTTCCTTAAAAACTTTCGTAACAGGGTGATAGGCTTTTATTTGAGCCATAAAACTTAAGTTTTATTTCAGTAATAAGGTAAATTGCCACAATGGGTATTAGTGCTTTTCTGGGAATATTTTTCTGAGAATACAGAAAAAGCCAAATTCTAGGCTTTTGTACAGATCTTATCATCAACACTTAGCAAAAACTGACACAATTTAAAAAAGAAAAATCTATTCTTTTTCATGATTGTAGTCAGAACATTCTGTGCTACTCGCACATCAACCGGCGATACTTGTTACTATTTTTATGTTTGTTAATGTTCTCTTTGTTGTTGTGTACTGTAGTGTGGTGGTGAAGATGACCAATCTGTTGAATGGGAACACGTGGCTGTGGGAGAGGAGTCAGTTCATCAACAGGAAGTTCATCATGGAGGAACACTACCAGCGCTTCTCCGAGGGGGACCAGAGTGTACTCAGCATAGACAAGGTGGAGATTTTAACAACGACAAAGCAGAAGAACAAAAAATAAAGCAGAAAATATACGGCGACTTTCCAGTCGATTCTTGACTTTTCGTTAACGCTTTTACCAGCAATATTTTGAAATTACTTATGCTGATCGTGAGTTTAACTATACTTAAATTATATCGGATCATGTGAACAATTTTGCACTAAAATATACGACAATTTCATGCCAAATGTTATTAAACATGCCAAAACTTAATGATTTTAACGAAGTTTATTTAGCTGAAGTTGCTAATCTCTTCAATCTTGTTGCATGTCGTTTCTAGGAGTTCGACCCGTTCTATGAGCCGATTGAGGATGTGTTGATTGGGACTGCCACCTACTTCTTGCAGCCTCTAGCCTACAGAGTTGACACTGATGAAAGGGCCGCCATATACGACTACAAGGTACAAAACACACCATGCCGAGTCGGGTTTTGTCTTTCATACAACTCAAGGCTTATCTTAATTTTGTTTTGAATATTGGATCATAATGCCATTGGGTCTGATTGGCTGAAATTAATTCCAGCGACAGAAAATCTGGATTTTCTTCACTAACAGAATCTCAAAAAAAAAATTGGATTTTTTTGCACCGTATAGCCGAAAAGATCCTCTGGACCTCTTGAACTACTCAACTAACCCCCCAGCCCCCTGTTAAAATAAAAACTAAAAGAAAAAATGAGTGCAGTTACTTGGTTTTAAAGCTCTTTATTTTGAGAGATAAACTGAATTATTAACCAATTGTGAGGCAACAGCAGTCAATTTACAGACCCACTGCCTAAAACATTCGTGGCTTTCGAAATTCAATTTGGAAAAACGATTTGAACAAAAAGGGGGTGGGTCTCGTTACTACATGCAAAATCAACACATGCTTAACAATTTATTTCTTTTTAGGGCTGATTAATATTTTCTTGATCTCAAAATTAAATGAAAAATTCATCTGTCATCTTCTTTGTATAGTTATGGGGATTTAAAGGTTGACAATTCGGCATATTTGGATTTATTAAGGCGCGACTTACCTCGTGTTTTGAATGCGTCAAGGATATTTAATCAGTCTTAGAAATTGTTTTAAACTGAAAAGAGGAGTGCTATCAGGGGCGGATATAGGGGGGGGGGGGGTTCGCCCCTTTCCTTTCTCAGGAATTTGTCCCCCTGCCGACCCAAAGGGCCCCCCCTTTGTACTATTTTGAGATATCCATTTTTGTTGACGGACCCTAAAATTTTTCTAAAGGCGCCTCTGGCGCCAATTTATACTAATTTTGAGGGGGGAGCGCGCGCCGAAAAAACGCGATTTTTTGGTTAAAATTTTCCAAAAAGTGCCTGAAAATGCCTTTTTTGGCCCGTTTTTTCAAAATTTTGCCTGCGACGCAGAAATTTTGGCCAAAACAGGGTCTTTTTAGTGCTTTAGGAGAGCTCAGAAAATCAATTTAGTCAACCTAAAAAAAAAGGTCGACAAAATTTTTTGAAAATCCGCCCCCCCTCGAGAAAATCCTAGATCCGCCCCTGAGTGCTATAATATTTTTTTATGTTGAATAAATTTAAAAAATTAAAAATGGTTTTCAGTTGTTTTTTGTTAACGTTCATCAATTTTGTTAAAACGAGCAACACTCCGTAGCTTAAAAAGCAGTCAAATCATTCGGGATTGTGCCTTGATACGAGCAAGCTTGCTGTTCAATTGATAGTATTGCTCCAACTTTCGAAGAAAAGATGGGGTATTTGAGATCAGTGTGGTTTTTTCTTGTCAGACAAGTTTCGATTTTTTAACTAGCCACTTTTGAACAAAGTTTCTTTTACCATCTGAATAAATTGATTCCCTGAGCTCAAATTCAAAACGATATGTTACCTGTGATAGATTGAAAGTTATCGCGGTTTGTAAATTGTCAGTTAACAATTAACGAGCGATGTATTGTTCCAACTTTAAGAAAACGTGCGGAATGTTTATTCTGGGCTAAGTTTTGTTTCATACAACCAAATTTCGGCAATTAAAATATATATTTTTTGCAACTGAAATTTTGCCAATTCGTGAAACTTAGGGCGCGATGAATTGTGGCGATTTAAGAAAACGCGCGGAATATTTGTGCTTGGCGTGGTTAAATTTTATTCAGTCAAGTTTCGGCAATCAAAATAATAGATTTTTAAAATATTTTTGTACTTAATTGATGATATCAATTTCCTGAGTTCAATTGCAAAAAGATATTTTCCCCTGATTATTTTTTTTTAATTCTGGAGGTCTGAAAGTTCTGGAGGTCTGAAAGTTAGGTCTGAGCATAAATTAGAAAATGCGCCAGAGCATGACTAAATTGGCAGTTATGCTCTGGTGCTTTTTCTAATTTATGCGTGTTTGGAAAATTTTGTTAATGATGCTGAAAACGTAACGCAAATTTTTTTCTGCGTGGCAAATTTTCCCGCACTACATAAACTTTCCAAATTAAATGGAGGCAAGTTATAAGGCCGTTATTGTCTCCTATGCTTCAGTTTTTGGCACACGACATTTGATTTTGTCCAAAATCTGTGGTTTTTTAATTATTCTTCGCCAATAATTATTCGATTCCGATTAGAGTGGCAGTCGAAAAATTCAGGGCTTAGACCTAAATTTTCTTTCGCCGGTAAACAACAAATAGTAGTTCTTAATCTTTATTGCATTTTTTCAGTTGTGACATGACGTTGACTCGATTTAAAAAAAAAACATTAATCGAGGGTAAAGTTGGGTGTTTTTTGCTCCTTTGATTCAGACAGCTCGATAACTTTTTTCAACTTTTTATGCTCTATTGATTCAAACAGCTCTTTAATAGGATAGTTCTTTAAATTTTTTGCTCCTTTGATTCAGACAGCTCAATAGGTTTTTTATTTTTTTTTTTGCTTCATTGATTCAAACAGCGCGATAAATGTTTGTTTTCTTTTCTCGCTCGTGTCATTTAGACAGCTCGCCAACTTCTTTTATTTAGGGCAAAGTGGAAGGATCAGTGAATGTGGGGATTTACCCTTGTGATCAAACTGGGAAGATTCTAAACGACGCTTTCGTGGAAGTACCTGAACAGCTTCTGAACCAGCCTTACTTTTTCAAGGTACACTGACAAAATGTTTAGCAGTGGTTTAATTACATTACTATTAAGGCAATTAAACTTGATTAAATTTGTTTCCAAATAATTGTCGGCTTTCACAATTGTGACGAGTTGTCGCTGGTTTGGTTCCTAATTGAATCGGATTGAGTTTATAAAACGTAGGGGAGTATAAAAAATTTGAGTTGAAGATAATGGTGGATCAAGATATGCTATTCCATTGTCTCAGTAAACTATGATATTATTTCAGGAAAGATTTAAGAGATATTTCAATCATCGTTTGCATGCAGCAAAAACTAGACTTTTTTTGGCTACTCCTTGAAATCAAGTTTTCATTATCTAAAAATATTTTTTCACGGCCAAAAATTATTATTATTTTTTAGTTAAAATATTTCTAATTTTTTTTGTTTAGATCTTAATAAAAGATGCAGAGATCAGCAAAGCGAGGTTTGCGAAAGGGGTTCAAGTGAGGTACCAGGTGTTGGGAGACAGTTCAGTCCAGAAGGCGGGAGACTTCAAACGTAAGACCAATTTGCACACATCAAAACCGTAGCAACCGTTTCCTACGTTTTGTGTTTCACTGTAAGAAACTTAGTTCTATCCTCCAGATCAGAAATAATTAAATTTTGGAACCGTAAATAGACTTATTGTACTGTACGGGATGTTAAATTGGTAGCGGATTTAGAAGGGGGGACGGCGCCAATCTACATTTATTTTGAGGGTGGGTTTTTTGGTCGAAATTTTCCAAAAAGTGCATAAAAACACCTTTTTGGCCTGTTTTTTTTCTTACAAATTTGCCTGCAGCGCAGAAAATTTTGTCAAATTAGGGTCTTTATAGTGATTTGGGAGAGCTCAGAAAATCAGTTAGGTCGATCTAAAAAAAATTCGACGAAAATTTCAATTTATTTTGGAAAATCCGCCCGCCCCCCTCGAGAAATTCCTGGATTCGCACCTGTGTTAAATACAGTTAATACAATTCTTGTTCATTCTAATCATGTTTAAAAAAAGAGAAAATTTTCATATCGGAAATTTTCGGGTCAAAAATGATTGATAATTTTCATTTTTCTTAGGCTAATTAGTATGTGTCTACCTTTTAAGCTTCATTGACTCCCAAATTCAACTTCGAGAGAGTGGTTGCGTTTCCCAATCTGGGCCAGTATGAACTGGAGTACCTAAAAAATGGCAGCATCATCTTCCTCGTCTACGGCAAGCAGGAGGATCTCAGACTAGACCCATCCAAGAAACACATGACCACCAAGGTCAGTTGAAATAAAAACAATTGGAGTTTAAAGACAACGTTTTCTCCTTCTCAGTCGAAGGATCGGTAAGTTCATTGGTACTAATTTTCGTGACGAATCAGTATTTCTCTTGTGCCGGATTTAAGCGCAGCAGAGCAAGCGAATTTACTTGTCTACGCCTTGTTACGAATTGTCGCGAATTTGATGTTTGAAGACAACTAATATGGATAATATGTTTGCTAGTCAAGCGAGGATATTTTGTTCCGGCATTTCTGGCAATAGTTTTTTTCGACTAATAATCCGCCCAAAGATTAGTAGACATTTGCGCCAAAGGTGTCATTAAAATGTTCAACAGTCGGTCAACCAAAAATGGATGTCGTAAAATAATTCCAAAGAGAGGACCCTTGGGGTAGCCAGAAGGTCGGATGGGGGAAGAGGGTTGAAGAGAGCGTCCCCTGACTACCGTTCCCAGGGGTGGGAAGGAACTATGGTAGAGGTTGTGCACTTCTTAACTACAAATCAGCATCACAAATAAACATCAGATCTGATCACATGATATATCATTCAAGCTCTTCCAAGCAATTCAAAAAATTTTAAAATCTATTAAAAATTAAGTTAATGAAGATTCTGCAAGACGACTAAAAAAAGAACCCTCACGGAAAATCGATAGCCGGTTGCTGTGCAAGTAGCGCAGACAGTTCCGACTAACATAATAAAAAATTCAAGAAAAAACGGTTTCTTTTTTTTTTCAAAAAGTGTCGGTTGTTCGTGGTGTGATGATAGGATCTGAACGAAAGCCTGCAATTTGGCATATTCGATAGTTTTAGTATATTCGGCTAGTGCGACAACAGTTTTGTTCAAAAAAATCCGTTAGAAAAACAAAACGAAAAATGTTAAGAAAAGGCGTTGAAAGCAACTTCCAAAACTAATGTTACTGGAGTAAAAAGAAATTTTCAGAGTAAAAACGTATCGGCCTCTTATAAGCCTGCTTGCTCACTTTATTCGCACAAAATTAGACTAAAAATCAAAATTGTCAAATCTGTCTTTTTGACATCGCAAAAAATTTTTTGTTAAGTTTTAAACGTCGATCGCATCACAAGTGAAAGGGCTTAAATGTGATTTTTTTCCGACCCAATCTAATGATAATAAGTGGTACCTGATTTTAAGCGGAAAGAACCTAGCTAATGTCAAATTTCAGTGTTCGGAACAAGAATAGACAGCTCGCAAAGTTTAAGAAAAAAAAATTTTTTATTTAAAACTCGGCATTGGAAAGTTACAGATACTTGCTCCGCTTTGCTCCGCGCTATGCGGCTGCAATCGGTATCCGGCATGTGTTTTTGCTAGTTGTCGCTTTCTTGAAAGTGTTTTGAGGATTTTCGATTGTTTTGGTTTAGCAACTGAGGGCGGCGGAAGGCCAGAAGATGGACGGACTGTCTTCGAGTACGAATGCACTGATGAATGTGTTGTCGGGAGACGACAAAAAGATGGTGTCCGATCTGAAAATTGCGCAGAAGCAGAACCAAGTGCTAAAGACACACGAAAACAAAATAAAGGCAAGAATCTGATGTACATGTAAAATGTATGTAGAGACAAATCCAACTGCACTTTCTTTACTACTCCTGTCAGTAAAATTTTCTGCTCATTATTTAGACGAATCACGAATCTTTTATCGCCCGTCAACATTTGGTTATGACTGCATTTTTACAACGCAATTGACCCAATGGAAGCCATGATTAGCGAACGCTACTAAACTTACGTCCCTTTTTGGTGTTCAATGGTTATCTATGCAAGATTTTACAAAATATACGTACGATGTCGAGTCAGTTAAAAGATAAACATAATCGCTGCAAGATTAAAATAAAACTGCTTCACTATCATGGTTATTGGAGGTCCAAATTGGTGTGATTGGTTTTTGTGAACTCTGTTCTCGTTTTAGGCACTGTGCGACAAGTATTCGGAGATGCCCCCCACTCCTGAGAATTATGCAGCTCTATTGGAGGAGATATCCAGGGTCATCACCCTCGAACATACAGTCAAGGAGAAGATGAAGGCTATCGCACTGGTGAGTCATCTTGGAGCGCATAGTTTTTAGGCGGAATCGCTAAAAAATGGAACCATGATCAAATTTTAATGTGTCAAAAATTTTCATAAGTACAAGCGAATACACATTGGTTTCCTTTTGCATTGCAAATAGAATCGATATTAAGATGAAGTTAAATATGTTCTATAATTACTGCGCCCATCATTCAGCTATAACCGCCAGAAATATATATAAAAAAATGTTGCTCGATTTATACCTTTTGTCATTAGGCTTGTCGGGTGGGCAACAGAATGAAAACGTGTTACAATCACGAGGCAAAGTACATAGTAGTTGCAATTGCAACTTTTAGATTTGAAACGGTAAATTGAACGAAATTTTTTCACGTTTGTGCGCCGTTTCTCTACAACTGCTAAAAATTCACGAATGAAATTTTGACATATGATGCATGAAACTGCTTTTCAGAATATAGCGGGATAAAAAAACCGTAAAAAGTTGTTTTCATGGCGTTGTTTGGAGACGTCAGAGACGTAAGAACTTTGGAAATAAACGGATTCGTTGGAAGGCTAAAGATCTAAGCTAGACCATCCTATAGGTTTTCCCTTGCTTAAAAAAGAATACAAATAACTGCTCATCTCCAGAAAAATTTGGCTCCGATTTTGGAACTTTACCGAACAATTTGTTGAGCATTTAGTCAATATCTGTATGAGAGCATAAAACATTTTTAGTTATTCACTATGTGAAAAGAAGAAGATTATATGAAGTCCCAGTTTTCCTATAAGTACTTATAAGTCTAAAGTTTCGAACTACTCCTGCTGTTTACGGGGTTTTATTGGATTTAAGGACAACTCTCTGACGCCCCCTGATTAAATGGCACGACCACGTCTTTAAAATCATTTTTCTATGGTTTTTTATCTGGCTATATTCTTACAAACAGTTTCGTCATCTTATCTCAAAATATTAACCAGCAGTAATAGAAAAACAGCAGTGAATTTTCAGCAGTCATAGAAAAAACGGCACAAACGTGAAAAAATGGTCGTTCATTTTATCGCTTGAAAACTAAAACTTCTATGTTCCACGACCGTATTTTTTGTACCGCAATAAAGTGGCAGAAAATGTTTTTTTTTCTGACAATGGAAGCTTGTCTACTCCATCAGAATGCAATGATACATACAAATCAAATTATGCTGTTCAAATTTTTCTTGCTTTTCAAACAGCGCAATTCTTAAACGCATAAGTTCATTGGGCATTTCCACTTCAGATCTTTGTTATGCTCGTTTGATGTGTTTTCAATCTCCAAATTTTTAATACCTTTTTGCTTCTCGTTAAACGTCGTAAAATTTTTAAAGTAAGGACGTTATAAGTCAGTTATTTTTTTTGTTAAGTCAGCTAATTTTAGTTATTTTTAAAATCAACAAAAATTTTTTTCGAAAAACAAACAAAAAATTCTCTGCGTGTCGATGGAGCTGCAGCTCTACTATCAGCGTCAGAAAAATTTTTGATGAAAAAAAAAACACCAAGCGGCACCAAACGAAAGTTTTTTATTGGCAGAAGCAAAAGATAATTACCCATAAAACAGATAAAAAATATTGAATTGAAACTTAAAATTTCCGTTAGTTTTTACAGCTTCTACTAATCGAAGTGAATTGTAGAAAATCGGAGAAACAATAGACAATTATTTGAGCGTTTTAAATTACGCTTATCTTCTCAGAGAAAGATATTTTTTTGTGGCTGGTTAAATCAAATCAGGAAGGTGTTGAGCAACAAATAATTGCTTTCAGTCAGTCATTCTGATTCAAACTAAAGTGTAAAAACTCAATTGGATAACGACTGAGAAAAATAAGCAATACAAACATAAACTATTCAAGCATAAATTCGACTCAATAGGAACTGCACGAAAAAGAAGTAAATTGTATACTTCTACTAATTTTAGCTAATAAACGATTTTCAGTAAATAACTGAAACTTTACAAAAAACGTAATTTCTAACTTTCTGGTTTGTCAATTTCATATAATTTTACAAACCATCCTGTTAATCAGATCAACGTTCAAATAAGTGGTTTTAAATTTGGCTAAAATCATCTTTGACTAAGGGCTATCAATTTCATTGTTACTTTTAAACCTTTCATGATCTGTATAGATTTTTCCCAAAAACTACCACATACCAACTTTCGGCTTTTGTTTAAAAGTTAAAATACAAAAAACCAATAAAACCTTCAATAGTTCAAATGCTGTGTTTTGTGTATTTTTTGGGTCCAGTGCAAACAAATGATATGCCAAACCTAGGTCAAATATCCTATAGGTCAAATATCCAAATTTACATAATAATACTGTGTAATAATATGATGTTAGATTTTCAAAAAACAAGGCCGATCCATTTATCCGATTCCAACTTAGCCGTCTCTCGGTTTAAGGTCGCTAGTGGGCGCGCTGCACGCACGCCGCCACTTTACGGCGATAACCCGCTCGAATTTTCATAAAGAGTCCCACCCTCTGTCGCAAGCTCGCAACACATTGGCGCGACCGCGGCGATCCGCCTTCAATCGACCAGCATAGCAACTGTTAAACGAACGGCAGAAATGGCATCTTTGCCCAATTTTTTGGAAAATGTCGGATGTTTGACCTAATAAGGCTGTTTTTCGGATGTTTGGCATATCGGATGTTTAAACGCTACATTTTTTTGGTAAACATTGATGAGAAAAATTTCAAGCGAGGTTTCCATTCTAAAATGTGTTTCTGTTTTTGTTCTGGTTTTCACAACTTGATTTTAAAAGAAAGTAATTGTGTTCATAAATTGTCATTAAACTCAATTATAAAACTCCAAATTCGAAGTCTTTAGCCCAGCCGAAAGCAGCAAAAATGCCAAGAAGGCAAAATATGCTTAAAAAACTAAATTGATTTCTTTTTCAACAATTAGGGCTTTTAGCTCTTCATTTGTTTTAAGTCGAGGTTTTCATGTATTTTTTCTTGTTTTATTTGGCTTTTAAACTTCACTTTAGTTCCTAATTTAGTACAAAAAATGAGTTTTAAGCGATGATTATGACTCTTAAGGTTGCCCGTATGACGGGTGCCGGATCCTCTAAGCAGGGTCCGGACGAGGAGACCCAAAAATTGCACCGCGAGATCACTAGTATGGTCAGTCGGGTCGAGAACAGTACCCGAGGGCTGGAACAAAAACTCGAGGTAAAACACGGTGCTTGTAAAACCCCGCGTGGCGTGCTTATGGCGAATAATTCGGCTGCTTGAAAATATTCGTTTAATTGAGCTATAGATGTAATCAAGTGCTGTATTAACTGGGATGTTTTGCTGTGAATTGGAACGATATTACAAGAGATCGATTTTTTTTGGCTATCACTGAAAGTTTTCTTGCTATCACTGAATTTGTCAATTCAATGACATCAAAATATATTAATCAAGAGTATTGGTTATTTGATGCATTTTTTCCAAATTAAAAGTTGATTACCGAACAGAAATTGTTCACCAAAAATGGTTTTTGGTTTTTGTGTTCTGCTTCAAAATAAAAAATTAACAATTTCATTGATAAAACCAAACAATATTTTTTGCTGGGAAGGAGGACTGACTTTGAAAGGAAAACTTCCAGTTATATGCATAGTGTGCTTTCGCGTTAATGGTTTCAGTGAGCTTTCGTTTTTTTTATTTTCGAGAACTTCTCTAAATTGGCGTCGTTTGCTTACAATTAAATCTGAACTGAAACTTAAAAAAACTAACAAACTCTTATTTCTGTAGAATACTAATCAACACCCTCAGCAACATGAGCACAAATCGGAGAAGTCAAAAAAGAAAAGCAAGAAAAGGTCCAAGCGAGCCTCGAACTCAAGTTCAGATTCGGAGAGCAGTGAATCGTGTGTGAGCATTGTACGCATTGTTTTTCAATAAAAATTTCATATTTTGCAAAATTTGAGCAGGAACCCGGTCGGTTTAGTACTAACAACTTTTAACGAGAAAAGCTATTACTAACCAAAACTGCACATAACAAGATTGTTTGCATTAAAAACTTTAACCAATTTTATTATTCTTGATTTTTTTTTCGAATCACAGGAGTCCGAACGAAAGAGACAAGAGGCCCCGAGACGCCATGATAGCAGTTCAGCCTGTAACCTCCAGTAAACTCACACAATTTTGCTCAAGCAAACTTCAACTTTCGATCCAAAAGGAAAAAAACTCAGTCCTGTTATTTGCCTGCTCTACTGACTTAAATATGTACAGATGTGATATAAAGTGATGATGATTCGTATAGCGTATTCTTCTTGTTGGGTTGAGATATTATATGGCAAAGCTATTTTTCATATTGTCTATAATATACGTCCACTTTTTTTCTGTTGAATTCGCCCACCTTTGAATTGAAACTATCAGTCTCGTTTTTTGAAAAATTTTGTTATGCATTCATTTGAGATAAGAAAGAAACTAAAGCTATGAAAAACAGAAAAGAATCTTCTTCAAAGTAGAATGTCTGAGAAAAAAAAACTGTGAATGCGATGGCAAAAAAATGAGACATTGTAATTGCAATGAAATTTAAAATATTTCCTGAAATTTTGTAGGACTATTATGATTAAAAAACCTCTAAAAAAGTTGAGCAGATGCTATTATTCCATCTTTCTCTACGAGAATAGTCGAAACAAAAATTTTCAAAAGAACTTATTCCAGTTGGTCTTTTTTGTGATTTGATAAGTCCGGTGTTTCTAAACTTATACTTTTTAAGGACCACTCAGATGGACTTTTTCCTGCCACTTTGATTTTTTAATTTAAATTTTGAAATGTTTGTCTTATTACCTTTTTTGAAACACAGTGTACAAAATTTAATTTATAGGGTTCTTGAGAGTTTAAAAATTTGAAATACTCGAATCTGTACACTTTTGAAAAACATTGTCAGATATCATTTAGTCAAATTTTTCATCAGCCTGTAGCTTGAATTTTTTTTCACTTTTGTATTATTCGGTATTCGAGACTGCTCTGATAATTATCCAGAGTATTGTTATAATTGTTTTCAGAAAATAGTACTGATTATTAATAATGTGATGATTTCTGCATGTTTCAAAACAATGTGCAGTTTCAGTTTTCAGTAGAATAAAATAATTTGAAATTTTTTTTTGCCGTTGCCATGCTTAGCAACAACCAATCTGATATTTTTCTATCTGACTTGACAAATTGTACTAGAAAAAAAATTGTTTTCGAAACAACTTCAATCTTTGCAGATTTTTTTAAAAACTTTTTACACATGGTTTTGAGTGAGCTACGTTCACTAGCTTAAGACCCAGTCTAGCTGAAAATAAGTTTTTGTCTCGTCTCAAAGTTATTTACAGTGTCTTACGTGTGTTAAGTTTTGGGTTTCTGGGTATAATTGCACTTTTAGTATTTGAACGGTTTTCTGTTAATGATAAAAACTACTGGTAAAGAAAATTTCCCTTAAATTGTCTTGCTTTCAATTAACCTTATTGTTGTGATAAACTTTTTTAAATGAATTGAATGACACTTTGCTCCAGTTGCACTTAAGCTTTTGCACTTAAATATGACCGCTGCCATCAGACAAAAAATTGAGCAGTCTGAATTTTTCAATTTTGGAGTAATAAAAACACTGTTTAGTCAAATGTTGGATCTCATCGACACACAACAACAGAAGATTGTACCCTTAGAAGCCGAAAATGACAACAAAAACACAACTAGATTCTTATCAAAAATAAATGGTTGATATAGAGCGTTATTCCTCCAAGTCGTGTTTGATTTTGTTTACGGCTAGATGCATCAAATCCTTGAGATGCTTTTCTAAATGTCATTAACGATCAAATGGTTGTTCCTTCCAATGACAGGGACCTCGCAATTTGTCATGTTTTCTAGAGCAGAACAGAGACTAATAATTATCAAATATATTTATTATCACCATGGCGGTTTGCTTGGGTACTATGAAGATCATTTGAGAAATTATTTGGTTGGGTACTATCTATGTGGTTGAAAGGCTGACACCAACCAAAAACAAGACACTGGAGCACGCCAAGACACTGTCCATCTGTCCACTACAACAAAAACATCAGTTTTTAATGGTTTTTACTGATGCGCCGGGAGAAAAATTGCTTATGCCTTATGGGAGAAAACGCAAAAAATATGATTAGCTTTTAGCGGATTTAAGCAGTGGTTACGTTGACAGCCAAGCTCTAACTACTCTATATGTTTTCGTTCGTTATGTAAAAACCAAGCAAGGAATAAACTACCACACGAATCAAAATATTGCTCATCAATTTTTTTCTTCATTTTTTCTAAAACGTGAAATAGAACTCTTTGTCTTGATACCCATAGTAATAATTTTTTATGAAACATGGTTACATGAGGGCGACCCCTTATAATTGTGCTTCCTAGAAGGTTGTCAAAATTTTTTTTAACACGCAACGGGCCATAGAAAAAAGGCGGGGTCATTACGCTATTTGTGACCGAAGCGCACCCTTAGATGCATACTATCAAAAGTGAAAGAAAGAACTACTGTTAGTTCTTCAAGTGACAAAACGGTTAAACATTTGATCTGCATTTTTTATTGACCACCATCAGAACTCAGTAATTTCCTACAAAGTCTGAAAAACCTATTAATTGATTTATCTGCCGGCAAAAAAACATCCTGATATGCAAGAACAATTTGCGTTCGATTTTTAAAATATTTTCAGATCTTTTGATTTTTTAGTTAAAATAACTTAACCAACCAGAATAAAAGTCATTATCATCGTTACAAGTATTAGCTCATCATTTCTCGACCCTATTATTAATATTCAGCCAGAGAATAAAGATTGTTGACAACTTTTTATCTACATACCAACTGCTACCTGATTTTCTAAAACAATAAAAGACAAACGAAATAAGTAAACACACGAATAAATTTGAGGACTGTTTTGCAATAGATAAATCTGATTTATATGAAATCATTTTTCCTGAAGGTTAGTATCCTCATCCTCCTGCGTTTTCGCTCCCCAGGGTTTCGCCGATGAGCTTCAGGGCACTTGCAATCGTTGTCAGTTTAAGACTGTTTACGTATAATTTCTCGCTGGATTTTTTCACTATAATAGCTCATCATGTCTTGATCACATTATACGTAAAAAAATTTAGGACAGTTGAAACTGCTCAGTGTTTACTAAGTGATTTGCAATGCATTAAAAGTAGACCTGGGTCATTCAAGGAAACTTCTGGAAAAAAGACTTCCTGTGGAGATTTTGGTTGTGTTAAGAGCGATAACAATCACTGCAAGCTCCTACTTTTTTAAACCGTATCCTTAGTAAAAACAGAATATCTTTTTTGAATCATAGAGTAACTCACTTCTCAAAAGTTTTGAGAACTTTTGTTTTGCTAGAAAAAAAAAACTATTTTGAAAAAAAATTGTTATAATCGGGAAATTATAGGTTCTTGCGAAAACGAGACAGACCTTTTGAAAATATGTTTCAAAATCAATAGAAAATATTCTATGGCTGTATAAAAATTCAGTGCCTAAGTTGCCCGTTTTATTAGACAGAACAAAAAGGGACTCTATGACAAAAAAAAACAGGGCTATTTGTAAATCTAAATCGATGTTCTCTGCTTTTAAGGAATTTTGAAGGAAAAAAACAGTAAAGTTTCAAACAAATTGAAAAAATTAATCAGATTTTTGTTGATCTTGGGAAAAACAGGCTACCAAGCTAAATAGTTATATCACTAGTTGATTTTAAGTTAACAAAAACGCTCCTCTAGTTTTCGCCACCCCGCACCTTATGATGAAGTATTTAAATTTAATAAATTTTTTGAAAAAAAATTATCTAGTGGTCATGATGGCAAAAAAAGGATTAATTATGTGCTGAAATATTTAGTTATCCAATAGCTGATTTATTCAATCAAATATTAAAACAAAGAAAATTTTCAGATGTGTACAAAATAGCCAAAGGTTTAGGTTTTTCATAAAAACCCACAAGTAATCAATCAAAGTGAGCCTGCTTTCATTATTAAGCATAGTATTGAAAAACTGCTTATCAATCGTTTAATGATGTTTATAAACAAAACTTGTTATTCTTGCTGCAGAATAATTTTGATTTGGTAAAAATTGTTCATGGGTCCATGCTTTCTGGACAGCAACAGAATTTATGCAATCATGCAATAATGGAATGATTCGAAAAACATAGGAATGGTTTGTTTTATAGAATTCTAAAAGCTACGATTCTGATGATAAAGCTAGAAGGCTAAAAGCTTTTTAGGATATGCTATAATCTAATACAATCATATTTAACTAAATGTTATCAAAACGTAATTTTGAACTGAAAGAAATAGATTATGCTAATCTAAAATACGTTATTCCAAAAAGCTGCTACTATTTCTACTACACATGAACCATCTTTCTCGTAATTCGAGGAACGAAACAATATGTCTCTTTATGAATGACACAACGCTGTTTCGGAAAAAAAACAAAAAAAAACCTTGCACAAGATTTCAAAGCAAAAGTTGAAAATGTAGGCTTGTGGTGCTAAGCCAACAAAATAGCAATAAAAACAAAAAATTGGTACGTAAATTTGATCGCAAATCAAAAAAAATGCAGTAATAATTGGAGGAGAAAAAAATATGCAGGTCATTTTGAAAGTTTGGGCGTCGTAATAGACAATAGTTTAAGCTTTTATCAGCATGTTGATACTATACTATTTAAGTAAATAGCCGTGTTAGTGGCTTAATATACCAAGCAAGGAAAGTTTTTCAAGAAAAATCCTTCTGTATTTTGTGTTTTGCTTATGCAAAATTCGTTATTTCATATGATTCTCAGGCAAATGGCTGTGTAACAATAACAATCTGCAAAGAAATTTAACAATGGTAAAAACGGATATTAAGAACAATTTTTTTCAACAAATAATCAAAACCGTGATACCAGTTATTAATGAATTCAAAAATGAAAAGATCTCCAAAATCTTTCTGGGCCTTTTAAATAATGAAACCATTGATCAGTTGCTTGAATAATCCCGACTCAATTTTCCATTTTAAAAAAATTTCGGCAAAGGAGATGCTTGAGAGCTCACGAGTCACAAATTTTCAATTTTCCTTTAGTAAGAAGACATTGGCGTTCAGCCAAAGAATAGAAAAATTTGACAATTTTTTATCTTAATACTAAATGCCAACAAATA